TGTATGCTGGTTTGTGTGTTCTCCAACACAACTTTCACAATGCTTCTCTGAACGTACTCGCTCTCACAATGGGGAGCTTACCTAACACTGATGCAATATTTTCTATTATTAAATCTAGACTTCTATTGTAATAGAAATATAAATCAAATGATAACAGATTAGATCAGATCATTATCACACTGAATTATAAATTTATTTTTAATACTCTAACTCAGTCCTATGGGTTCAGTTCTTCCAACTCAAATTAAATAATACATTTGAAAACAATAACAAGTTTCATTTTAGCAATAATAGGTCTGAATAAATCTGTTCACCTCTACTTATTTATTCCCAATTTGCATTTTCATTGAGAATTCAAGAAGGAAGAATATTACAATTCCAAATTAAAATAATCCTTGGCCAGCTACATTGACACAGATGAGCAGTTCCATTTAGGTTTGAACTGGCATAAATATTCATGTAAGCTGCATGTACAAATATCAGCTCACACAAAATATCATACATATTGTATAGTTTCTTTTGTGCAAGCCCATGAGAGCATTTTCTCTAAAATTGTTGTTTTAGACCCAGTTTCTTTCATCTCTTTTAAATGGATTGAAATGAGTAAGGGCTATCCAGCAGGTGAGTTGATAAACTGTTTTTTTAATATCTATGGAGATTCTTAGTCATCCAGGTTATGGCTGTCCCAAAGGTGCTTTTTTCAAAGAGGCAACTGGACTTTCTTGAAAAACGCACCTTTAGGTGTTTTCTTAATATCTTACTCTACCCCAAATAACATCTGACAAATGATATAATGTCTAAAAAGCAGACCAATGGCCACTTATATAACAAAGATAACCTGAGCCATTAAACCAGTGCTCTCAAAGAGATTTTAAAAAGAGGCTGAGGTTTAAGAATTAATTAATTAGCAATGCCAATAATTATTGCAATGCTATTTCAGTTTGATCAAAGGCAATTTGCAATGCTTGGGATTGTTCAGAATCATATAATTAAGTTCTATCTAACCAAAAGCAAAGTCATTAAACTTACTGAGATGTTCATAGCCAGTCACCACTTTCTGCTAGGTTACACAACGCCACCTCTGGCATTCATTTTGTTTTGTAAGAATGAAGCAATGGCTGTGCAGCCTCACTGACTGGGCCAGACAGGAATATTTATTACATGTCTTGACTATGTCCTATAGTCATAAAATCCCTAAGAGGCTATTAATTTTTTTTTAATCTGATAAACATTGGAGAGCTTTTCATGTATCTGTCCTCTCCCCCCCCCCCCATTGGAATAATAATTAAGCAATACTTCTCCAGACAGTTAAGACAATGTTGAATGAGCTGGTCTAATATGGTGGATAAAATGCAAGGCTTGGGCTGAGAATTATGTGAATTATTGGGCTGTTGAGTTATAATTTGAACATGAAGCAAGTTCTTGGGGTACACAAGCAAGCATGCTTCAATCTTTCTTTCTTTTCCTATGTCTTAAATTAGCACTGGGGGAGGAGATGTGTTCTGCTTATTTAAACTGGCTTAACATAATGTAATTATTATTTTTGCTTTGCATCTTGACTCTCTGTGGTTTGTGTTTAATCAGAGCTAAATCCTGATTTGTGCCAAAGGAATGGTCACTGCTTAAGTGTCAGAAAGAGTATAAATAGATCCATCCAGGGTAATGCAAGAGGAGGGGTTGAATGTCCAAAATTTGACAGATTGCCTTTCCAGTGGGGGAGATAATGATTATTCTATTCTACATTATTTACCCAATCAGTTGCTTGTTCAGATAAGCTCGTTTTGATTGAATATTAGGTAAAAATCACAAAATCTGGACTGCACAAATTTGAATGACCAGCCAATGCCAGCAAATCATCGGGAGTTTTGCAATTCAAATCTGTTCTCCCTAATGTTAGGGAGAAGTGGATTTTTTGTTCGTATTTTTAATAAAGCTGTAAATAATTTGTATAAATGGAATTTTGCTATCGGTTTTAAAGACCATTTTCGCACAGCAGTGTAGTTGTTGATCCCCAAAGACATAAAGATGAAGTCTCTGGGTATAGTTAAAATTGGATCTTTTTCTTTTC